ACCTTCCTGATTTTTGTCTGCTTATTCTATCATGAGAGATGTGCTAAAACTACCCCGTGACTATGCATTGTGCCTTATATATTTTAAGGCTAGATTGTTAGGTATGTTCACATTTAGAATCATTGCATCTTACTAGTGAATCCACCCTTCTGTTATAAAATGTTTCTTTCAGCACTTTGAGGATATCTCCCTGTTGTCTTCTGACTTCAATTTATTTTGTAGATAAGTCAGCTGTCAGTCTTCTTTTTGTTCCTTATAAGGTAATTTGTCCTTTTTCTTCATCTGCTTTTAAGTGTGTTCCCTTTGGTTTGGGTTTTCATTGGTTGGGCTATGGTGTAATTAGTGCCTTTCTTCAGCTTGAGGTCCAGGTGTCTCATGAATCTGTGGCTTGGGATCCACCATCAGTTTTGACAGATTCTCATTTATTATCTCTTCAGATTAACTTCTGTCCCAAGCTCTTTGTTCTGTATTTCTGGGACTGTGATTGTACCTTTACCTGTATCCAATTTGTCTCATTTCCACTTTCTTTTCATCTTTCGTTTTACTGATCCTCTGCTCAGGTGTGTCTAATTCAGGGATCAGCAGATTATGACCAGCAGGCCATCACTGTTTTCGTAAGTGAAGTTTTATCAGAACAGCCACCCCTATCTGTTTACATATTGTCAATGGCTACTTTTGCACTATACTAGCAGAATTGAATAGTTGCAACAGAAACCATGTAGCCTGAAAACCTAAAATGTTTACTATCTGGCTCTTTATAAAATACTTGCCAAAGTCTATTTTAATCCACTTTTAAGTTCATCCATTGAGATATTGATTTAAATTATTGCATCTTTTATTCCTAGAATTTCCATTTTAGTTATAGCTTCTTTGTTTCCAGTGAAATTCCCCATCTTATAATTTGATTTCTTGAATATTTTAATCTTATTCCAAGTTCTCTGAAAAACACAGCCCACAGCTGTGTTCCATAACATAAGTGTTCCAACACTTATGTTATGATCATAGGGAAAGCATAAGGTGTTGCTAGGCCCCTCCTACGGGGAAACAAGACTGAAGCCAAGGCCAGGGTTGCAGGAGGTAGTAATGGTGTACTTAAATTTTTATATTTTCATCAGTTAATACCAATATCTGGATTTCCTGTCACTATGTTTATAATGTCTATTTTTTTTTCACTTTTTTGGGTTGTCGTTAAATTTTGTTTTTTGTATTCTTAGTTGCTTTTAAAGTTTGTGCTGTATATTATAGAAGAAAGGTTGTGGATATAATTTGAGATTGTAGCAGGTTTATTGATACTCTTTGTTAAAATCCCCTTTAAAAATTATCAGATTATTTTTGCTTCTAGATCTTCAGTCTAACACTCTTCCAACTGGATTATTTTGGATATCTTATTTTTGCTTCTAGAAGACAGCTAGGTTAGCAACCAGTCATCTTTATCCAACAAGGAATTGAAATAACTTGAACCAGGGCTTTATTCCCTTTGAAGGTTGTCCTGTTTCCAGTTTACTTTATTCCTGTGATAGAGCTTTCTGGGGTCCTGGGTTGGGAACCTGGGGTGTTTACCAACACCTGACACCTTGGAAGGCCTTGAGCTCTAGGTGTTCGCTTTCCACTACATGAGGCTGATGACAGATTTGTCCAGTTTCTCAGCTGCTCAGCCACCACTTGCAAACTGGAAAATGCCTTGAGCAAAAAGGTAGAGCGAAATGTCATGCCAAATTTGCTTACGTTTCTAAGTTTCTTTTGTGTCTGTGATCTTAGCCCTGCAAATCCTCACTAGCATGGTAGTTTTCTGATGCGTTAAAATACACTAAAAATATTTTATGGGCCAGGCGCTGTGGCTCATGCCTGTAATCCCAGCACTTTGGGAGGCCGAGGCAGGTGGATCACCTGCTGTCAAGAGTTTGAGACCAGCCTAGCCAACATGCCGAAACCGCATCTCTACTAAAAATACAAAAATTAGCCAGGCAGGGTGGTGTGGGTCTGTAATCCCAGCTAGTCAGAGACTGAGGCAAGAGAATCCCTTGAACCTGGGAGGCAAAGGTTGCAGTGAGTTGAGATCGCACCACTGTTCTCCAGCTTGAGTAACAGAGGGAGACTCCATCTTGAAAAAAAAAAAGAAAAGAAAAAGAAAAAAGAAAATTTTATGCAGCATTTTTACTTATTCTCACTGGGGAGATTCATCAGAAACAAGCAGTCCTGCTACAGCCAGAAACAAAGCTCCTTAGCAGTGTATCCTATCTCTGTAAACTGTGCTGTTTAAAATAGTGGTTTTAAAATGTTTTAAAATAGTGGTTTTTAAAAATCTAAACAAAAAATTGTTTAGATTCTCTCATAAGCTTTACTGATTTATTTAATCGTTATTGCTTCTTGCATCTCACTACTTCTGTATTTATATTAGTTCTTAGTTGGTACATTCTTTAGTATTTTTTTTTCTTTTTTTCCAGTGAATATCTCTGAGTGGTAAAGTTTCTGAACCATTTTGTGTCTGAAAATATCTTTATTTCATTGATTAATGATTGATCATTTGTTATAGATGGATAACTGATAACTGATTACTGATTAATAACTTGGTTATAGAATTCTAGATCCATTATTCTTGTCCCTCATGACTTTGAGGACTTGACTTTGTTTTCTTGAATCCAGTATTTCTTGTGAGAAATGTGATGTTAATCTGATTTTTCACATTTTTCTAGGTAATCATATTTTTCTTTATGATAGCTTTTAGGATTTTGCTTTATGCTTTTTGTTTTATTTTTAAAAATGTCTAGAACTGAATGAACATTTTGAAACAGAGACTTCTGTCTTTCTTAAAGTCTAGGAAATTCTAAGCGATTATATCATTAAATACTGCCTCTTCATTTTATTTGTCTATTATCTCTATTTTTTAAAGATATATTGTAGCAGATTTATTAATATTCTTTATTAAAATTCCCTTAAAAAATTAAACTGTATTATTTTGATAAGTTGTTTCTTCCACTAAATATAGCATTTCTCATATGAAATATCTTTTATAATACTGCATTTATTTTATTTTATTTATTTTATTTTATTTTTTGAGATGCAGTCTCACTCTGTTGCCCAGGCTGGAGTGCTATGGCGCGATCTTGGCTCACTGCAACCTCTGCCTCCTGGGTTCAAGTGATTCTCCTGCCTCAGCTTCCCAAGTAGCTGGGATTACAGGCATGCGCTACCACACCCAGCTAATTTTTGTATTTTTAGTCGAGCTAGGGTTTCACCATGTTGGACAGGCTGGTCTTGATCCTGACCTCAAGGGACCTGCCTGCCTCAGCTTCCCAAGGTGCTGGGATTACAGGCGTCAGCCACCATGCCCGGCCCACCATATTTATTTTTATTGTTAAAATTTTTTATCCTAATTTTATTTCTTTTTATTTATTTATTTATTTTTTTCCAGTTGCATTTTTTAGAGATTTTTCTTTTTCTTTTTTTGTGTTTTTTTGAGACAGAGTCTTGCTCTGTTTACCAGACTGGAGTGCAGTGACGTGATCTTGACTCACTGTAGCCTCAAACTCCCGGACTCGAGTTGTCCTCTTGCCTCAGCACTCGCAATAGCTATAGCTGGGACTACAGGTGCATGCCACCCCACCTGGCTAATTTTAAACTTTTTCTTTTGGAGAGATAGGATCTTGCTATGTTGACCAGACTGATTTCAAACTTCTGGCCTCAAGTGATCCTCCTGCCTTGAACTACCAAAGTGCTGGGTTACAGGTGTGAGCCACTGTGCCTGGCCTGGTTTTTCTAACACATTATTTTTTTCTTTCCTTTTCTTTTCTTTTTGTTTTTTTGAGATGGAATTTTGCTCTTGTTGCCCAGGCTGGAGTGCAACGGTGTGATCTCAGCTCACTGCAACCTCTGCCTCCCGGGTTCGAGCTATTCTCCTGCCTCAGCCTCCTGAGTAGCTGGGACTGCAGGCACATACCACCACACCCGGCTAATTTTTGTACTTTTTAGTAGAGACCAGGTTTTGCCATCTTGGCCAGGCTGGTCTCAAACTCCTGACCTCAGATGATCTACCCACCTTGGCCTCCCAAAGTTCTGGGATTATAGGCATGAGCCACTGTGCTGGCCACATTAATCTTTTCTTAGCATTTTTAATTGACAAAAATTGTATATATTTATAGTGTATAACATGATGTTTTGAAATATGTATATATTGTGGAATGGTTAAATGGAACTAATTAACATATATTATCTCATTAGTGCCCTATTTCCTTTTTTTTTTTCTTTTTTTTTTTTTGAGACAGTGGTTCAAGAGATTCTCCCACCTCAGCCTCCTGAGTAGCTGGGACTACAGGCATGTGGCACCATGCTGGGCTAATTTTTGTGTTTTTAATAGAGATGGGATTTCACCATGTTGGCAAGGCTGGTCTCAAACTACTGACCTCAAGTGATCCACTTGCCTTGGCTTCCCAAAGTACTGAGATTACAGGTGTGAGCCATCATGCCTGGCCCCCATTTCCTTTTAATTAGATACTAGACTGTTTAAACACCATGTATTTGTACACTTAAGTCGAGTTCTTACAGTTGCGCTTCTAGAAGAATTTTTCAGAAGGATGTGCTTAAATATATTATTATTAAAAATGTAAGAGCCTCCACTATGTGCTATATTGTGAGCAAACCCAAATCAATTCTCAATCTTTGTTGTCATGAAAATTAACATCAAATGTTTCAGGAAGAAAAACAATATGAAATGAACAAATAAAAAAATGTCTACCTACATTTTTTGTGAATCCATTCACAGGCATGGAATTATCTGGAAAAATGACTCCAGGGAGATTTGCAGAAGATCACCTGAGCCCCCATTTATGACAAATCTTAATGAAATGTTATCACATCTTAAACTTATTGGACTCCTGCCCCATAGTTTTTCTAATGGATGGGTGGTTGTCTGCATACATGAAGAACATTTATCTTATTCTGAAAGGTGTGGAAAGCACTAGCTCCTTGTTTGCACGTGTGTTCTCACAGTTCTTTTTGTCCAGACCAGGTACACTGCAGCCAAAGACAGCGTGGTTCAGTTCTTCTTTTACCAGCCCATCAGTCATCAGTGGAGACAAACTGACTTCTTTCCCTGCACTGTGACATGTGGAGGAGGTGAGGCCCAGGCTTTGTTCATGAATATTTAGAGCTCAGAGTTAGAGAAATTACGCATTTGCATTTTTGAAGCTGATTTTAAAATTGGCATGGTGATTAGAGATGTCTGATCACACAGCACCTTACTCAGCAGCCTGAATGCAATGGTGTTAATGGATAAGATGCATTTGCCTTTACTCTTGAAGACAGGTGCAAAATTGGATTTGGAAAACACCTTTTACTTTTAGCCAAAAAAACCCCCCCAAAAACAAAAAACTGTAAACAAACTTGTTTGCATGTGTTACTGCATTTCTCTTCTTGATTGCCCTTAAAGTATGTATTATTTTTAATTTTCTATGAAAAATCTGAGAAGCAGAAAGATGGAGTGACTTGCCCAGCCTGGTTGAGCCAATGGCTATGTTGGTTCTAACATTAGATTTACAACTTTTTTTCTTTTCAGGTGCAAGAGTATAAGCTTATTAAAAGAGAAAGAGTCTCTACTAAGTGTTAAGGGGAAAGTCTTGCTTATTGTCTGCTTAGTTCAAAGTTTTCTTTCCTTCTCTTCTCTTTCCCTTTCCCTTTCCCTTTCCTTTTCCCTTTCCCTTTCCTTTTTTGAGACGGAGTCTTGCTGTGTTGCCCAGGCTGGAGTGCAGTGTCATGCTCGGCTCACTGCAACCTCCGCCTCCCAGGTTCAAGCGATTCTCGTGCCTCAGCCTCTTGAGTAGCTGGGATTACAGGTGCCTGCCACCTTGCCTGGCTTATTTTTGTATTTTTAGTAGACACAGGGTTTCACCATGTTGGCCAGGCTGGTCTCGAACTCCCAACCTCAGCTGATCCACCTACCTTGGCCTCCCAAAGTGCTGGGATTACAGGTGTGAGCCACCGTGCCCAGCCTAGTTCAAGATTTTCATAGTCGGTTGAGGAAAGTTTTAGGACAAGTGTAATCCAGGGCTCCACACACGCTACAAAAGCAGCATCTTTCATGCTCTGGTGGAAGATAATTGTCCGTTTGATACAGAGAACTGGCAACTCCCTGGACCAAATGAGGAGGCAACTAGAGCTACTGTCAAAAGAATTCTCTTTTTCTGAACTGACCTTTTAAATCAAAGAATAAATGCATGCAACCCAGGAACCATGACTTACTAGAATAGGGATTTATGTTGAAGCTTCCCCTTAGAGTACCAGGCGGTGATACTAGGTGTTTACCATGTGTCAAGCCATGGATTAGTTGCTCATAATCACATTTATTCTTCAAGAAAACCCTAAGGAAGGTCTCTTTTATTTCTCTTATACATGAATAAACTGACACTTAGAAAGTGTAAAGAGCATACAGTAGTATGTTGTTCAGCTTATAAACAGTGCAGCTAGGATCTGGTGCCAGGTCTGCTTGATACCAGAGTCATGCTCTAAATGACTTTGCCCTTGTGCCTCCCCTAAACCACCTACTACACCTGGGACCAGGTCAGGGTACGCAGGCTCAGGTATGGTCTTGTTTGAAGAGCTAGAATAAATACTCCTTCAGCCCAACCTAGCTCCACATCTTTTCAGTCCTTGAAGCCTACGGAATATCAATTTACTTAGAGTCAGAAACTGGCCTATCTCCTTTAAACTACAGGTATATGAAGGAGGGCTCTTCAGTCAGTGCCAGGTTGCTGTGAATATGCAGGCAGATCTCTCTCTTCTGGAATTTAGGCTCCCCTTGAAACAACAGGGCAGTGTGGGAAGCACTGGGCAGCCCAGGCCCAAGAAGAAGTTTACATCCCTAGGAATGGAAGAGAAAACTGAATAGTGCCACAGAAAGAAAGTAAAAGTGAATCTCCCCAGTTCGCCAGTTAGTTCTTCCTGGGGCCAGGGTTGAGGCAATAGACCACTTGATTATGATCTTGCAGCAGTGATTCTCACAGTGGGCTTCCTGGACCTGTAGCATCAGCATCTCCTGGGAACTTACTAGAAATGCAGATTCTCAGGCCCCACCACAGACCTACTGAGTCAGAAACCCCAGGGTGTGGTTAATCCTCCAGGAGATGATGGTACATACTCCACTTTGTGTGTACCGCAAAGTGTCCATTGCCTCTTTAAGCCAGTGTCTTTGGATAGCAGCTAGAGCCATATTGCCATCACTATTTTTGCCATATCTGTGTTATTCCTGGACTATTATTTACTTAAGGATTTTTCTTTAAGGGGACATTTATTCAACTTAAATAAACATATTCACAAAAAGAATTTAATAGTACTACCTTAAGTGGAAATCTATTCCTTGTCACAAATAGAGCACAATCACAAAATTAATACAATGAAAACAAACCAGTGGAGTAAGTCCTCTTCAAGTTTCTACCAGCTCTGACATTCATTCAGTTTATTTTCAATTCCTCCTGAATTTTCTTGAATGTTATAAGCATTTTTATGAGGCAAAGGCTCCTTTACATCTTTGGGTCACTTATGACTCTTTGGATACTCTTACTCTGCAGAAAAACAAACATCTCTCTCTTTTGTTTGTTTTAGAGGCAGGTCTCACTAAGTTGCCCAGGCTAGATTCAAACTCCTGGGCTCAAGCAATCCTCCAGCCTCAGCTTCCCAAGTAGCTGGAACTACAGGCATGTGCCACCATGCCTGGATAATTTTTAAAATATTTTGTAGAGGTGAGGTCTCACTATGTTGCCCAGGCTGGTCTCCAACTGGTGGGCCCAAGCCATCCTCCCACTGCAGCCTCTCGAGTAGCTGGGAGTGTGGGCATGTGCCACCACGCCTGGCTCAAACATCTATTTTTTTGAAAAAAATTTATTTCTTTGTTCTTACACACAGTCATTCAGAGAGACGTTCACATTTGGATCCATAAGATAAAAGACACTTTCTACTCTAGAGGAGACATTTTATAGTGGGATTCAGCTTAGTCCAGTTGATTAAATTCTTGGGAAGCAAATAGGTGTTTCTCATACTTGGGTGCCCATGGAAAGACATAGTCAGTCCTGCTGGAACTATAAATGTGCATGAGCACTTAGCAGTGAGATCGTCTCCAAAGATAGCAGTGGATATAAGAACAGAAGGGAGATTTTAGGCTGCTTTTGGGTTTCCTGCCATTTTCTGTACACTGGCAGCATTTCAGTATATTTGTTCAAGATATAGAAAGGCAATCTGCCTCATTTCTTTTGCTTTTTGTTATCTCTAAACTGTGATAAAACAAAAGAGGAAAATTAATTGTCTCTCCCTAAATTATAAACGCTGTTTATGCCCTGTTTTCATTTAGAAGTCTATTTCTATTTAGAACAAATATATTTTTTTTCTGACTCAAGGAGCTGTAATCTCATTTTGTATTTGTTTTGGGGAAAATAAAACACACACATAAAACCCACAAGGAAAGCATTACCAAAATTTAATTATATTAGTAATCAAATCTGTGTGATGTCTGTGAATGGAATTTCAGAGTTTTTTGGATAATCAAGAAAATTAGTTCATTGATCTCTAAGGTACTGGGGTACTTAGATGGACTTTCCTAGTCTTCATCTGTAATTGTCGATGTGAGACACTTGAGATCAATCTGGATAAAGTACCTAGATTGTCATTGCCATCTGATATCGTCAACTTTCTGGCAGATATTGGCACCCAAGTAACATTTTATTGACTCCATTTGGATTTTCATTCTTGCGGTTTCGACCTTGCTTTTATAATGCATACCAGTCCGTCCTTCTGCACTTAGCTTACATCCAAGCCATGTCTTGTAGAAAGCTGTCTAGTGGTTTATAAAATCAGATTCCTCTCGACAATCAGGACTTTAAATGTATTTTTAGACCTTTAGATCAACTGGCAGAGGCAGAGCGCTTAGCTTTGGGCATTTTTTCTTTCCTAAAGAGCTCATTCTAGTTTTGAAAAATTACCTTTTTTTGAAAAAGTTTAACTTAACAAGACACTTATGAAGTGACAGGAAACTTGGAATCAGATCTTTCAGGAAATAGAAGCATCATTTTGTGACTTGCTTTTTAAATTTATAGCACTCATCTATTTGCAATGTTCACTTTCCTCAGAAACTCTACAAATTAGATTTAATAGAATCAGGAATAAGTCTTCGTTCCTTCTGTTCGAAGGCTTGTGAGACGAGGGCTGGGGAGTGACATCGGGAGATGGATTTTGTTCCTTTTTGTATAGACAATGCTTAATTCCCCATTTGGAAAGCTTATTGGTGTTGCAGGTGCCTGTGGCATCCCAAGGGAGCAGAGGAGTAAAATGTGGTACTGCATATGCAAATTATAAAATGTTATGAAAGAAATATTCAACCCAGCAATCACCCAGCGCAAGAGTAGTTCTCAAAAACATGATGTTGAATGAGAAAAATGGAAAATGGAACAAGATTTAAAACACATTATCATTTATTAAGTTAAAAACAGACACACAAAAACAGCAGCATTACATAAGACAGTTGCATATTTAGGGACACATCAACAACAAATCAAAATAGGTGTGTTGCGGGGATTGGAATGGGAGTGTCAATAAGGGAAGAAGAAAGATTACATGGAAATGAGAGAAGGGCCTTGCACAGTGCCATGATGACAATGAGGAGAAAAGACAATGAACTGAGGAGAATGAATAACTCACCTGCACCTGGGCTGCAAACAGTTCTTGAGAGGAGACTATTGTAATTTTTCAGTTAGAAGTGCTGAGAGTACTGCAGTTGGTACTAATTGTCATTCTCAATTTTGGCCGCGCATTTTAGTCATCTGAGAAGAACCTGAGAACCTTTTTTAAAAGGTACTGTTTTCCTGGATCCCAGAGACAGGGCTTCTGACTTAATTGGACCATGAAGGAACCTGGGCATTAGAGTATATTAAAAGCTCCCATGTGGTTCTGTTATAGAGCCAGGGTTGAGAACCACTGAGTTAAGTTTCTTAAAGAGGAAAAAAAAAAAAAGTGTGTGGCAAGTGATAACTCTGCCAAGTAAAAATGAAACGGATGCAATATTCAGACTTTCCTTTTCTAACACTTTAGGTTATCAGCTCAATTCTGCTGAATGTGTGGATATCCGCTTGAAGAGGGTAGTTCCTGACCATTATTGTCACTACTACCCTGAAAATGTAAAACCAAAACCAAAACTGAAGGAATGCAGCATGGATCCCTGCCCATCAAGGTTTGTGTCATTGTCCACACCCTTTTTACTTCATAAAGAAACAAATCAGCTTCAACTGAGACTGAGCAATCTTTGCAGGGCAACACATTTCCATTTCCTGACTTTGTCTACTGGTGGCAGGTGCCTACATTCACATTTGTAACTATGGTGCATAGGAATTAGGATACATTCCTAATGAGTGTCCGGATTAGAATTGCTATACACTGGCAGCATTTCAGTACATTTGTTCAAGATATAGAAAGGCAATCTGCCTCATTTCTTTTGCTTTTTGTTATCTCTAAACTGTGATAAAACAAGTCTAGCTTTCTCTTGTCAGTCTAGCTTTCTCTTGTTGTGGGCTATGTGTTCCTAAGTTTTTTTATAATGAACTTTTTGAACATCTCCTGCTCTCTTCATCCAAGTACAATGTCTAGTCCATCTGCCAATCATAAATATCTTCCACTCACCATTTTAGCTTTTAAACTGGGTCACCCATTATCACGTTTTGGCTTTTGAAGTGTTCACATTAAATTCAGTATAAATAATGCATTGTGCAAGGAAGTAAAAAGTTTTAATGCCAAAGCAAAAAAAGCTATGCGTAAACTATCCTATTGCATAATTTAGTACCTGCTGACTTGGATTGCCTGGGGAAGTTTCCTGGCTTACTACAATACCTTAAAATAACAAATATCAAGTCCCAGAATCCTCCAGATATCTGCCAGCTGGCTTAGGAAGAAGTGTGCAAGTGGAAAAGGAAGCGTTCTCAGTGGATTTCATTTCCTGTTACTAAACTGCCCATTTCCTATGAGCCTGGTTGAACGTAATTATTAATAGAGACCTTTCAAAGGACAAATTCTGTGAAATAAAGTGGTTTTTGAAGATCCTACTAATATGACAGTGTGTTAATATCACTGGTATATTAAGAGAGTAATGATTATAAAAAGGAATAAATTTATCTAAATTGCAAGGTACTTTTTTCCTTTAATTAATATACTGCTAGTTTAGTTTTCTATATTTTCAAATAGAACTGGAGAATTTGTGTCGTAGATATTCTTGACAATTAAAGAGATAGTGGCTGAATTTTTGGGAGTGGTTGATAACACTTGACATTTTTAGTTTCCAATTTGAAAGAGCTGTGTCTCTTGGGATGTCAAATATTGTATTAGTCAATTAATAAATGTGTTAATTTATTATAGAAATGATATTCTCACAATGATTTCATTTGTAGTGATGGATTTAAAGAGATAATGCCCTACGACCACTTCCAACCTCTTCCTCGGTGAGTTATATGTTTCCTTTTCCTTTTTGCAATTTAAGTAGTTTGCTAGGAATTGTAGCATCTGTAGCAATAGCCTAGAATGTCTGAGGGTTAGATATTAGATACTTTACAGAGCTAAGGGAAAACAGACTTCAACTCAATAATAGGAAAAATCTTTCTAAGAATTAGATGGAATAGGCTGCCTCAAAAGATGATGTTCCCCATCGCTAGAGCTGTCAAGCCTATCTTGGACAACTGAGTATCATAGCAGGAGCTCAAGTGTTGCAATTAATCAGAAATTTTAATCCCCTTTTAAACCAAGATGAATAGTATGGTCCTTCCTGACTCTGAGGTTCTGTGATTCTCTAATAATATTGTCCATTAGTATTTTACGGTTTAGAGGCAGTTTGAAGATGCAGCCACACTATATATTTTAATTGATTTAATTTTCACAATGGTCTTATGAAGGTTAAATAGGGAAGGTATATTATTCCCAGTTGACAAAAACCCCAGATGTGAGGAGCTAAGTACCTTGTGACTAGAGATTGTGTGTGGCAGTTAAGAATAAAGTCTTGGCCGGGTGTGGTGGCACATGCCTATAATCCCAGCACTTTGGGAGGCTAAGGTGGATGGATCACTTGAGGTGAGGAGTTCAAGACCAGCCTGGCCAACATGGCGAAACCCCCTCTTTACTAAAACATACAAAAATTAGCTGGGCATGGTGGCAGGTGCCTGTAATCCCAGCTACTTGGGAGGCTGAAGCAGAAGAATTGCTTGAACACAGGAGGCAGAGGTTGCAGTGAGCCACGATCTTGCCACTCCAGCCTGGGCGACAGAAAGAGATTCCATCTTAAAAAAAATAAATTAATTAAAATTTTAAAAAGGCCGGGCATGGTGGCTCACGCCTGTAATCCCAGCACTTTGGGAGGCTGAGGCAGGCAGATCACGAGGTCAGGAGTTCTAGATTAGCCTGGCCAACATGATGAAACCCTGTCTCTACTAAAAATACAAAAATTAGCCGGGCATGGTGGCGCATGCCTGTAATCCCAGCAACTAGGGAGGCTGAGGCAGGAGAATTGCTTGAACCTGGGGTGTGGAGGTTGCAGTGAGCCGAGATTGTGCCATTGCACTCCAGCCTGGGTGACAGAGCAACACTCTGTCTCAAAAAAAAAAAAAAAAAGTAAAGTCTTATGACTCCCAGTCCCAGGCTCATTCAGCTGAACCACAACTGATACCTTAAGGCCATATTTTTTGCCACCATCTTTGCAAACTTGAAACAAACAAACAACAAATAAATAATATAATTTTATTTGTTTGCTTTTGAGCTGGGAACATAATCCTTGGACTGCATGTTCCGTGTCCTGTGGAGGAGGGATTCAGAGACGGAGCTTTGTGTGTGTAGAGGAATCCATGCATGGAGAGATATTGCAAGTGGAAGAATGGAAGTGCATGTATGCACCCAAACCCAAGGTTATGCAAACTTGTAATCTGTTTGATTGCCCCAAGTGGATTGCCATGGAGTGGTCTCAGGTAAGATTTGAGAATATGCCACTTTTAATTAATTCTCATATTTTAAGGGATATTTTCTATATGCCCACCATGGTACTAGACAGCATGGAGACCAAAAAAAGTGGTAAAAGAGCATGGTTCCTACTCCAAAGAGCTTAGGAAGACAGTTGGAGGACAAGGTAAGAAAGACCACAAGCATCATCATAGGTAAAAATAATTAACATTAAGGACATTAATAATAATATTTCCATATAATTACCAGCATAATTAATATTAAGTACTGTAAAGAACAAATGTATAAAGAACGAATGTTGAAGCAGAGTCAGTCAGGAAGTATTTGTTGCCCCTGTGGTGCTTAACCCATCTTTGAAGAATTTAAACAAGCAAGAATTAAAATTTAAATTCTTTAAATTCTTTGACAAATGTAAACAAGCAAGAACCTGAGAAGCATCACTGGGTTAGGGTTAGTGTTAGGGAGATGGCCAAACAGAGATGGCTGAGCAAAGGCAGTAATGACAAGAAGTGACTCGAAGTTGAAGATTTGAAGAGATGAGCCATGTTACTAAGAATTGGAAGATTAAGTTGGAAATGCTGACACGACATGAAAGCGTGTGTCCTTGATCCAGCAGCTACTAAGAAGCTTCACAATTTTTGTGAAGACATAATATATTTTAAGTAACTGAGGCAAGATAGCCTAACATTGAGAAAGACCGGAGGCGGGCAGCCTATTTAGAAATCATCCGTGGGGTCAAGTTGTATATAAAGGAAAAGAGAAGAAGGAAAACACCCCAGAGGTATAACAAGGGTCATGTCAAATTAGCGTAGTTTTCACTTTCTAAAGAGATGACTGAGTGAGCCTCCAGAACAAATAAAATGCAGCTGGATTAGTCAAAGATGAAAAATGCAGACATTGGTATTTAATAATTTAATCTTAATCCTTTAATTTTCTGGAGAGTGAGATGTAATTGACTCAAGTTTCTCCAGCTTTCTTAAGTGATCTCCCCACACACATAGTTCATCATATACATGCGTTAATATATCTATTCATGTATTTATTCAATGTGTCAGCTACCGTGCTAAGAAGTAAATACAACTTGCTCCTACCACCCAAAAGCTTAGAATCTAGTTGCATAGACGTTCATGCAAACAAAGTTGTGATACAGTATAGTATCGTGCATAAGTAGTATCATGTGCCCAGTACTTCAGAGGCACAAGGTGGAATGATTCACTCCACCTGAAGGTGTCAGGAAAGCTTCAGAAAGGAGGTAGCACTTGAACTTGAAGGATAAAGGAGTGTCAGGTGAAGACCATATCAATCTTTTTCTGATATCCCCAGACTAAACATCATTACCCTGTAGAACTTTATTCAAACTTGCTAGGAAAGAAGTTATCAATTAATTTTTGGTCACATACTCCCTAAAAAGAAGATTAGAGAATTTTGTATTTCTTCACATATATTTAGGTTGACATTTGAAATTTCCTATCACAAGTTTAAATAATTACAAAGAATATCATTTCAACATGTTGTGAATGTTGACATTTTACAATAAGAGTGTTGCAGCATTCAAAAAAATCTGTCTAGTGGAATTTAAATGCCATGATAATTTCTGTCTTTGCCATCTTTCATTTAAAAAATACAGGAACGAGCTCTTCTTTAACAATTTGGATGTTGTGCATATTTTTCCCTTTGAACTCACATTTGCAATCTACTTTCCCCACAGAATTTTATTCTAATATAATGTATTTTTATGCTTTAAAGTCTTTTTTTAATTACAGTATTCTACTTCTCTCCAAGAAGATATATATGATCATTGAAATTAATTTATTTTACTTTCCTGTGGCCATAAGGCCCTAACTATTTAAAATATTCCTCTGAATTGAGTTAATTTTACACAGTCAAAATAACATATATATTTCAAAGTTTGGTAAATAAGAATAACAACACAAAAACTACATTTTCATTTGAGTACACACTTAGTTCATCATGTACATGCATTAATATATCTTTATAGAAGATAAGTGGAGCTTAAAAAATAGTCCATCACCAGAATGAGCCATGTTCAGCAATGATTTTATTATTAATTTTTACTATTGGTTTCTTATTTTGTTTCGTTTGGCTTTGCATGTATACACTGGGAAAACCTGTTCATATAAATCAATAGACCAGGATGGAAGGATTTTATTTTAGCAAGGTCGTTCAGTTCTTTGAACTCTTGAGTTATGTGCCAAAATTCATGTGATGGTCTATCATCAAAAATTATTTTTAAGGATCTGTCTGCTGGCAATTTAAGTCTTCTTTCTATTTTGTTGAAAGCAAAGAATATCATCTCAGCTGCAAAAGGATTTGTTATTGAGACATTAGGGACTTTCACTTTCTCAGCCCCAAATTAACATTGTTTCTACAACTGCAGAGCTTGTTTTCAGCTCTCATAAGTCCTAGTCATATGTTTGATGTTGGCTTTAGAGCTTTTATATCACCCTCCATCCCCATAAATATCATGGCTTTATCATTACATGTATTATCAGAATAGAGGATGTTAACTAGCTCTTCTCATGCACCATACTTCACCCTTAATACTTTTCACTTTTTTCAAAAATCAAATATATTCTCAGTGATGAGGATTTTCCATCATTGAGGACATATGCAGCTCCACAGAGGAGTTCTGGAACTGTTGTAAACACTGACAATGCCATTGGGGGAAGTGTCTGGCTTCCCAGAAGGGTGGTTTAAAAGGAGAGGATGCTCCTTTGGATTAACCAGTTGTAGTATAGTTATATCTTGTACTATTTTCTTTCTCTTTGGGTGAAATTTTTTCTTTCTTGGCTAAAACAGCCACTCAATATTATATATATCTTGAATTGATAAATTAGGGGGTAGGTGAGTCAATTTTCCAAAAACAGGGTAATCTCAAACTTCATTGAACTCATTAAAGTATTTGTTCAGTGGTTTCAAGAGTGGCATCATGAACTAGAGAAATTTCCCAATATTCTGCCTAATGTGCGTACACTGAGAAAAGCCTCCATATCCTTGAAACATGTCTTTGAAACTTGTCCCCAGGGATACCCAGGCACAAAGTTGCTTAGGGGGTCAGAAAATAATTTTCAAGCTCCTTAAAGCAGTGACTTGGCCATGGCTTTGGCAATAGATGGCTCTGGGAGGGAATTCCACTCTGCCTGTTAGGAACTGTGTGACCTTGAGCAAGATCCTTAGATGGTGGGCTGTTTGCTTATCTGTTCAATAAGCCTGAAGCTACTGACCTAGAAGTGGGTCAGGAGGATTCATGAGATAACAAATGAATGAGGTGCCTGTCCCATAGCAGGTAACCAAAGGCAATCAAGAACTCTCAGCCCCTCCCTGGGGTGGATCCAGAATTGGTGGGGTCTGAAGCTTGTACAGATTTGAGGGGACTCCTCAAAAACAAGAATATAAAACACAAATATTGAGTATTGAAGAGAATGTTTATTTAGAATAAGAAAGGAAATTATAAGAAATTATAAATTTAAAAAAGCTGACAACTAATTGTGAACTCTGGATTTAATAATGATAATATTTAATAATGATATATTAAGTGATGTATTAGTTATATTAATAATGATGTATTAATATGGGTTCCTCAGTTGTAACAATGGCATCACACTAAAGCAAGACATTAATAATAGGGAAAATCATAGGGGGGAAAAGGGGTGAAGGGGAATATTGGGGCTTTCTGTACTGTCTGCTCAATATTTCTGTAAACCCAATACAGTCCTCAAAAAATATAGTCTATCAATTTTTTAAATGCGTACATATATATACTCCCCAATATGCAGATTATATTAGTCCATTCTCACTGCTATAAAGATACTACCAGAGACTGGTTAATTTATAAATGAAAGAGGTTTAATTGACTCACAGTTCCACATGTCTGTGGAGGCCTCAGGAAACTTACAATGATGGTGGAAGGTGAAGGAGAAGTAAGTACCTCCTTCACAAGGCAGCAGGAGAGGGAGAGAGAGCATGAAGGGGGAAGAGCCCTTTATAAAACTAGCAGATCTTATGAGAACTCACTATCCTGAGACCAGCATGGGGAAAACTGCCCCCATGATCCAATCACCCCTTCTCAGGTCCCTCCCACGACAAGTGGGGATTATGGGGATTACGATTCAAGATGAGATTTGGGTGGGGACACAGAGCCAAACTATAACACAGATAAATGAAAAGCTAGTCTCGATTTTTATATGACATGAAAACATTCCACTCATAGGCAAGAGTAACTTTCAAATCATAATCAATTAATCCAAGAAAAAAAAAATGCTGCAAAAAAATTCAGGAAAACATAGCATATTTTTATTAACTTTAACTGCAGGCAGTTATAGTTATAGATGTATCAGGATACATCTGTAGTATTTTTTTCTATAGTGTTTGGCTGAATTATCTTTGATGGCCTCATTTTATGACAGCAGTTTTGCAAGACTGACTTCTATAGTCAGAATAGAAAAATAATCTTCTGGCATAATTCATCAGAATTTTATTATATTTTTATTGACAGTTCAGAAAGGTTTCATTCATCTTCAAAAATTATTTTGGGTAGGGTCATGTAAACTTTTAATCAAACTTGAGAAAACTTGTAACAAGTTTCTTTGATATTTGAGCAGTAAGATTTCAGGGCATTTTCAATTTTCTTGAACTATGATCACACCTTAAATACTTTTTCAATTGGGAAGTAGAACAAGGTTGTACAAAAGAGGGGCCTTGAAATACAAGCATCACAGAAAATTAGCCTCGGTACCCTTCCTTACATAATATTTGTCTAAAAGTCTTTTGTGTTTAATATTTATGTAGTTTAATGGCTTTCCTTTGCATATGATAAAATATTGCCTTTGTGGTTCTCTTAAAAATAATGCATTGGCTTCTCTTTTCTTCTTTGAAGTGCACAGTGACTTGTGGCCGAGGGTTACGGTACCGGGTTGTTCTGTGTATTAACCACCGTGGAGAGCACGTTGGGGGCTGCAATCCACAACTGAAATTACACATCAAAGAAGAATGTGTCATTCCCATCCCGTGTTATAAACCAAAAGGTAAGTCTGTGGTGCATTGTAAATTCAAATCAAATAGTATTTTCCAGCTCCCATTCCAATATTGTAGCATTTCCCTTTCAACTTACTACTTTCTTATAAAAATTGTTTTACTGACAGATTGCAATAGACCTTCCCATCTAGATAAAGAAGTTAGATATATGTGAATTATTCATCTTGAGGGAAAACTGAGCTCCTGTTGATTCCATACAGATGGAGTAGCTCCTATCTATCTAGTTTTATACTAACATTTCTTGGTGGACGTAAGAAAATTAAATGCAGTCTCTCCCTTGAAGAAAAAGAAGGAGAATGGCAGAGGGGGAGATTAAAAAAGGAGGGGAAGGAAAAGTAGAAGGAGGAAGAGAAAGAAGAGCAAGAAAAAGAGGAAGAAATAGAGGAGGAGGAAATTATTCTTTTCTCAAGATTCTCGTTCTTCTTTGTAGCTACCTCTCCACTGGAGTGTAAGATTTTTGAGGGAGGAATGATGTCATCTTTATCATGTGTACTAATGCATGGAATGAATGAAAACTTCCAGTTCCCATTGGAGATCTATGGATGCATTTATAATCTCTCCAGTAGTTCACATTTGTTCTACATGAAAGAGCGGAAATGGGTAGCATCGATGGATAGGAGGATTTGGCATCATTTCTCTGATATATGATCTTCTCTGTACATAATTATTTCCATATTCTTTAATGTTAATCATCCTCATGAAAAGTATCTTCCATCTTGAAATTGGAGAAAAGATTATTCCCAACTATTAGTAAGGACTCCTCCTTAGTATTTGAGAGAGGATGGTAAAACTCTCTTTTGTTATTTTTGGGTTCATTATTCATACAAAGAGCCTCATAATTAGCCATCCAATAAATATTTTTCAGTATGTCTATCTTGCAGAAAAATCACTAGTTGCCATGACAGGTACAGACATTGACTACATAACTCCATCAGTGAAGTCTTTTCTCCTTCTTTCTGCACTTACGATACTTTCATAGCCACTTTCATTGTGTCCACAGTTTCCTTGAAGAACCCCAAAGTTATTTTTATTTCTCACTTCATAGATAAATTATTCCTTTCTTCACATCAAGGAGGCTTCAAAGGACAGAAAGGGGCAACAGTTTGTTTTTCCATGCCAGATGTAATTGGTAATCATCTCCCTCAACAACTACAACAACAGTAAAAGTTTGAGTAAACTATAACACAGACTCTTTCATCCCTCCCAACCTTCTTAACTTTCATGTTATTTGTCTTTCTCTATTAATGTTTGCATTCCATGGACAAAAATAAAATGTAACCAAAGATAGCAAGCTGATATGGTTGAAGTAAGAGCTTCAATGTATGAACAACAGAAATTGGTATTGATTTATAAAAGGCATTTTTATGTTAACTTTGACAGCATATTCAACTGTATCGTGATCATTTTGGTTGCTTTTTAATAATGTATTAATTTTTAAAAAATACAACAGAAATGTTTAATTCATTCCAGCAGCCACCTAATGTATTTTACTAAGGAACTCAACTTGCATTTGAAAAACATGACCTCTTTATAAATGAAATCTTCAGCCAATATGATCATATATCCAACTCCTTAATGATTAATAGTAATTAAGCTTATTGTTTATGTTCTCTTTTTCTTAGAAAAAAGTCCAGTGGAAGCAAAATTGCCTTGGCTGAAACAAGCACAAGAACTAGAAGAGACCAGAATAGCAACAGAAGAACCAACGTGAGTCCAGGACCCTTTATGGGAATAATCAGGGCATAGCCAGTTAACATGATATATGTAATTTTTGTACTCATTGGAGTACAATGATACATTTAATATCCGAGTGACCTGGATTTACAGACTCTAGAGAGCTTGAGCTGGCTAGAGTTTTTCTTTATTTCACAATTCAGCAGTCCTCCTTTGGCAGTTTCTGTGAGCAGCACAGAAAAGAACAGTGTTACTTAACTCAAAGCAGATCCAGTGGTCTGTTACACTTAAGAGATTGGGGATAATTTCTAGGTTTTAACGCATGTGATTTGACCATGAACCATCATAGTATTGTACAAATAAACCAATCATTCCATGGGTAAGTCATGGTCAATCTCTATAAAATTAATTAAGTTGGAATGCATTAGTTGCTTGAGTGATCATAGGGAAATGGAAAGAACAAGGTACTAAGAGTATTGGAGCTTAGAACCACCCCTGCTAACTACATGACCTTAGACAAGTCTAATTTTTCTGTCTCTTATTCTCCTTACTTATAAAAGGGGCAGGTTGGGCTTGATCTCTCCAGGGTTCATTCCAACTCAAAAATCCAATGACTACCATCTGCATGTGATTTGATGAATCTGGATTGTAACAGTGCCAGTGGAAATTAAGAATCAAGAGGAAATCAAAGAAGCATTCTGGAGGTGGTTATATAGGGACAAAAAGAGAGCAAGAAATCAGAGGTGCTCTGAGATTTCTAGTCCAGGAATCTATAAGAACAACAGCACCAATGATAGACTCAAGTAATTGAACAGAATGGCTGATTCCATGTCAAACATGTTAAGTCTTTGGTGCTGACAGGCTGTCTATGAAGAGAGCGATTCCCGGAGCATCAGAGGAAAAGGGGTCTCAGCAGTAATCTGGCCACTTTCCCTCTCGGAGCAGGCATTTCTTCTTCAACACCTTCAGCAATATGCAGAGTTCACTGCATTAAGAGAAACCTCATTCTCGTGTTGGGCAACCCAAGTTATTTGCAAGATCTTTTTCTTCTGTTGAGACAGAATAGACCTCCTAATTTGTGTTCTCTGAAGCAGAAAAAAAAAATACATCTATGCCCCATCCCATGTGACAAGTTTTCACAAATATGAAGAAAGCTGCCATGGATCCTGAGAGCTTTGTCTTTCCCAAGTTCATCATTCTTAGCCTTTTCAGCAGGCTTCATGCACTGTTGTTTTTAGATCCTTTCCCAACCTCCTATGCTTTTCAGAACCCACTCTCATTTGTCAATCTCCCTTTTTACTGTGGTCCAGCCCAGTGGTGAGCCCCAGGGCAGTGTGGGTTACTTCTCTCTGAGAAGGCACATGTGGCAAAGTGGTATGGGCCAACATAGCTGGCACATCACACTCATGACAAGCACAGACTTCTTCACGTGGACCACTGTCAGTGCTACCTATGACCACAGAAGAAACTGTGGACCGTGTGAGGGCGAATGGCTTCACAGTATTTGAGTAAAAAGAGAAGAGTGTTGGGCTCCTGACAGAAGCTTGGAGATTTAGAGGAAGAGGGGGAATCAAAAGAGGAAGATGGTGAGGGAGTAAAGTAGTGAAGAGAGGGAGGAGTAAGACCCAGGAAAGCTTATTATTCCAGAGACCAAAGGAGGAGGGAGTTTAAGGAGGCAAGCAGCAAACAGGATTCAAATCTCACAGAAAGACAAGGAAAATCCATGAGGAAAGAGAAAAGGCTGCTTTGATTAACAAGAAAGGCTTTTTCAGTGAATTCTAGAATAGTAGCATTCAAAGGGTGGAGAATAAAACATTGTGGATATTTCAGAAATAAATTTCCAAAAAAGAAGGAAATGGAGCAATGGGTATTTGAGTACTACAGAAGGAACAAAGATTGGTAGTCAAGCTGATGGAAAAGCCTATGTGTATGTGTTTGTTATTTTTCATTTTGAAGTTAGGGCAATCTTAAACAAATTAAAAAGGGTTTTGCACAAGTCAGTTAATATCTGTAGACCTTCCAACTATACAAGGAAGGCATTAGGCTAAATGCTGCTGGAACCTTCTCCCATCTCTGATCACCTACAATCCTGTAAGGGAAGGAGTCTACAGAAAGAAAAGGGTTTGAGACACTTGAGAGAGAGTGTGTAGTTGTCACAGAAGGAAGGTCACAGAGTCCTCTGTCTAGAATGATGGGTCCTACCAAGATCTTTTGTTTTCAAAACACAGTTAGATGACAGTCGATAATCCTTCTGTACGTCCTCTTTTGGTTAATAGGATTGCAGCCCATCCAGTTCCCCAAACTAGAAGCCTGGAGTCTTTCTTGGCTCCTTCTCATTCTTCCCTGATGTTTAATTAGCCACTGAGTTGTGCCGACTATATTTACTAAAATCTTCCTTGGTTCCAGTTCCTCCTGTCCATCCAAACTACCATCCTTGTATAGGTCCTGAAGTCAATTCCCAGGACACCTATAACAGCTTTCTAATTTGCTTCTGAATTGCTTCCCTCAAATCCACCCCTACACAACACAGCCACCAGAGTAGTCTATCTAGGTAGGGTGCAAGTCTAATTCCTTTTTTTTTGAGACGGAGTCTCACTCTGTCACTCAGGTTGGAGTGCAGTGGCACGATCTCGGCTCACTGCAACCTCTGCCTTCTGAATTCAAGCGATTCTCCTGCCTCAGCCTCCTGAGTAGCTGGGATTACAGACACGTGGCACCACGCCAGGCTAATGTTTTGTATTTTTAGTAGAGATGGGGTTTCCCCATGTTAGCCAGGATGGTCTCGATCTCCTGAGCTCATGATCCACCCGTCTCGGCCCCAGAAAGTGCTGGGATTACAGGCGTAAACCACCGCGCCTGGCCAAGTCTAATTCTGTCTTTGCAATGTTCAGAATATCCAAATGTCTCCCCATCACTTAAAGATTTATGTGGGTTCATATGCCCAACAGGACATGGCAGGGTATTACTCTTCCTGCTCCCCAGCCTTATGTCTGGCCCCCTCCTTTTTTTTGCCTTGAGTGGGATGCTCCAGCCACACTGACTTACGGGCTGTTTCTTGCCCACAGCAAGCTGTCTCTTGCCTCCTTCTCTTTAATCACACTCCCCTCTTAGTTGGGAATGGCTCCCACCTGTTAAGTCTTTTTCTGTAACTTTCTTTTTAATCATAGAAAATTGCAAACCTATTTAAAAGAGGAGAAAACAGTGTAATGAACCCCTATGTCATGTTCATAACCCAGTATCAACAATTATCAACCCAGTGCCACTCTTGTTTCATTGAAACCATCACCACTGCCACTACCCTCTGATCATTTTTGAAGCAAATACAGACAGCACATCATTTCATTCATAATTATGTATCTCTAAAAGAAGTTTTTAAAAAAATTAACCAAAATACCATCAGATACTGTAGGAGTGGGGCTCTATCACCAACATTTTCTTTTTATTTCGGCTGCCAGATTTTTTTTTAATCATGTAAGAGATATACAACATAAAACTTACCATTTTAACCATTTTGAAGTGTACAGTTCAGTAGTGTTAATCACATTCACATTGTTGTGCACCCATCACCACCTCCCATCTCTCGAATTTTCTCATCATCCCCAACATAAGCTCTGCTCACCTTCAGCAATAACTCCCTACTCTCTCCCACTAGACTCTGGTAACCTCTATTCTACTTTCTGTCTCTCTTTCATTCAACAGCACTTTTTTTTTTCCCCCCGAGACGGGGTCTGGGTCTGTCGCCCAGGCTGGAGTGCAGTGGCGCGATCTCGGCTCACTGCAAGCTCCGCTTCCCGGGTTCACGCCATTCTCCTGCCTCAGCCTCCCGAGTAGCTGGGACTACAGGCGCCTGCCCCCACGCCCGTTCATTCGCCAGCATTTTAAACAAACACCCCAGGTAACTTTGGCAGGGGAGTGGGCATATCTAAGTTTGGGAACCACTGGATCAGATAGTCTCTAAGGTCCCTTTAAAGTTCAGAAAATATTGTTTACTTTATTGAATTAGAAAAGGGGGATATCTACCGGGCGCAGTTGCTCACGCCTGTAATCCCAGCACTTTGGGAAGCCGAGGTGGGTTTATCACCCAAACTCAGGAGTTTGAGACCAGCCTGGCCAACATGGTAAAACTCCGTCTCTACTAAAAATACAAAAATTAGCCGGGTGTGGTGGCACATACCTGTAGTCCCAGCTACTCAGGAGGCTAAGGCAGGAAAATTGCCTGAACTCTGGAGGCAGAGGTTGCAGTGAGCTGAGACCCTGCCACTACTCTCCAGCCTGGGTGACATAGCGAGACTCCGCCTCAAAAAAAAAAAAAAAAACAAAAAGAAAAAGAGAAAAAAAAAAGAAAAAAACAGAAAAGGGGGATATCATGGAAGCTACAGTGAGGTTCAGGGCCTATATTCATTCCAAGGCTGCCTTTTCTGTCAGCCCCACCTGACTTTGCTAGCGGTTTCTTCCTCCTCATATTCACAGAGCAAAGCTAAAAAGCTCTTTACTCCTGAAGGACACCACCCTTTCCTCCCCCTTGTTGGAGACTGAGCAGACAGCACCTGTTCCCTGGCCTGAGCAGCTGCCTCTTCCCACCTTCCGCAATCTCTCCCTCTGTGGTCTCTCTGCAATTTTCCTGCATAATTCACACTGCCTGGCAGTTTCTGGCTTGGTCCTAGCCATCTAGTGTGAAGTTTATAGTTTCCTGCCACCACTTCTGACTCTATTCATTCCCTCGATTTCCAAACAAAACCGCAGCATATCTCAGCTTCCAGTGCATCCTTTTATTACCACTGTCTTTTGTGGTTTGGGTTTGGGGATGCTTCCTTGTTGACAATGAAGGGGAGGGTGAACGCAGCTGTATTTTACATCCCTCCAGTAGAGCCTGCCAAGCCGGCCTGGAGGAGATAAATATTTCTGCCTCTGTGGTTTACCATGGCTCAAGCTCTGAATTTACATAGGGAGCGGATGTTCAAAGGGCTTTTTTGCTTTTTTTTAAATTAGGAAAATAAAAATTATAGCATATAAATCTAAGCTAAGGGAACTGC